AAATTCCCATTGTACGAACACGGGACACTGATGATTCTAAATGTCTCTCGCCACTGGCATTTACGGAAACGCAAGATATGCTCGGCTGAGAAATATATCGCTTTGCTTTCCGACCTTGCCGTTCGGAGTAACATATCGTTATTGGGCTGAATATATCGATAGCTATCACGCGCACGCCGGGTATTGATACATTCTCCCGCGATAGACCGAAAGGCTCGATAAAATTAAACTTCCTCTCCGGAAGAGGAAAAAAATGAATGAAGAGAAGAAAAAACACACGAAGGAGAGATATAGCCGCGTTGAGCCGGGAGTTATATTTGTGACTCTGTATAATCTCCTCCGACGACTCCTCGCGATAAAAACGGACCGGATAGAGCGCCAAATATGTCACAGGTGGTTCCACGAAGTGCCGATGTGAGTGTGAAATATGGTAAAGAACTGCTATGCCGACTGAGGGGTATTTAACCGCGAGTGAATTAATTAATCGGATAGCGAAGCTCGAATCTCGCTGCCGCTGCCAAAATCGCCGTCCCGTGTGTCCTCGCGTCGGTGTCTCTTTCGGAAAGCGTAATCAAGTAATGGATTTTCCTCGAGGCGTATGAGACCTTTAATCGAGAGCAATTGTCGCTGGTACTTCGAGATACCAGAGGGTCTAGAAATGCCGTAACGAAGCGAGAAAGACGGTATATGTTCATCGTATCTCTCTCGCAAAAACGTTTAGCGCGTCGCAGGATGATGCTAATTGTTCGTGCAAGGTTGCAGAACGCACGCAAACTGCAAGCTAATCGATGTTGCGAGCTGGAATTCTAAATGCGTTATAATCTCTGTGTAAAAAAGCGTACACGCGCACGGCAATTTTCGAATTTACCTCGCAGTTTATGAACTTTTCTCCCTTGACGGCTGTTTATCATAAAAGCGCTCGTGGATCGTCATGTTTATGTCGTGTGGCGTTTTTCATGTGTTTGCTTACGTGAGCTTTGCGTACGTGAGCTTTCATCTCTTGTTGTATCCGCGCTCGGTTTTCCTACCACATATGACTCGCTCAAAGCAGCAGAAAGAAATAATGTAACAGAGCGCGAGAGAGAGAGAGAGAGAGAGAGAGAGAGAGAGAGAGAGAGGGACGACATGTCATTGATAAACCAAAACTAAAATAATTTCTTCGGCGCATTTTTACTGGGAGAAGAAGAAAAGAGGGATGTCCAGGATACATTCTCCCAAATCCCGACTACTCCTTTCCGAGATTTCCCTGCATATCTAAAGTCACCCCCTAAAACGTGTTAGCGGAAAAGACGCTGAGCTGTGCGGGGGACACAACGGAGAGAAGGGACGACTGTGTGCTTTTGGAGATAAAACGCCCGATATAAATTTGAATAAAGCATTTGAATAAAGCGGAGAATAAGAAAGGGAGACAGTCCGCGAAAAGGTCAGCGAGCGGAAGTGACGCGACAGAAAGTCCGCCGAATCCCGCGATCGGGGTCGATCGATTTTCCGTGGCGACGTATGACAACTTCCGGATGCCGATGCCGACTATGCGTCGTCAGACCGGTCTGCGTAATGACGCGGCCTCCGTCGTCTGTCATGCCGGACACCTTGAGGGTATTCATAGTCCTGCGGTATCGCCGCCGCGCTATTAATACGCGCGACAGCTTTAGTTTTCAAGCGTGCGCCAGGAATAAATGCACGCGGCGGGTTTGCGATGCGGCGCGTAAATAACGACGGGCTCGTCTCTCCCGAGGCGAGAAATCCGATTGCGGCAGCGGCCGGAGGAATCGAGAATCCGAGGAGGGACTCAGACGGTCCGATCTGGCTAAATTTGAAGTTCGCCTTTATGTCCGTTAATTTTTAATGCACTGACCACCATCGAAGAACGTAGTTGGTTACTGAATCCTTGCACGCTCGGAGGAAATCGCACGCAGAAATGTCGCGCGCATTCGTCTCCTCCCTAATTTTGCAGAAAGCTGCACGTGCTCGAAAGTAGCACGTGGGATTCGCGAGAGTAAATGAAGCAACGAGGCGCGGGGGTATTCCTAATTGAAAAAGATATATTGTAATACTCCTAACTCCACACATACACATACACAAGCGGACATAGACATAAATCCGGGAACATAGCCGGGAAGGCGGTTCATTTTATTGGGGTAGTAGGCGTGCCAAGTTAGCGAATGAAGTATAAATCCTTCGAAGTGCAACAATTGCGGTAGTCGGGTGCGGCGGGCGTTTCCCGATTTCGTCCCTGCCTCTCACTATACGTACCAGCGTGCTGACTGTTGACCCGCGAAAGACAAATTCCCTCAAAAAAAAAAGAAAGTAGAAAAAGAAGAAGAAAAGGCCGCCTTCCGTATCGTCCGCGAACGTATGATACTTACGCGAACGTGGGGAATGTCGACCGACGTCAGCGGGAGCCGCATTGAAGTAACCGCGGTGAAAAATAGACGACCACGTTGTGAATGTTGTGGCAGGAACTCGCTGTTCATTACGTTACGTTGCGTTCGTCGAATAACGCGACGAGAGGAAGAGAAGTGCGGAGAAAAAAGGGGCACTTTATCGCGGTATTGTACAATTCGCGGATGTATAATGCGCGCTTTAACGAATCGCGCGAGGAGCTCGCGAGGGAGAGAGAGTATGTGCACGTGAATAAAATTATTAAATATTTTTATCCCGTCGCGAAATGTCGCTCCGGTGATCTAGTTATCCGGTATTGTGTTCGCGACAATGATACGACGAGCCTGCACTTCGCGCCCGGTGGAAAAAGCGGCACAAGGATCTCCATTAGCGCGGCACGCCGCGTTTGTGCTCGGCTCCTTCACTTCCTCAGTGAATTAACTCTCGTTGAGAGTCCCCGCGCGGCATCCTCTACTTAGTATTCCGCGGCACTTGCGAGCCTTACTTTTGTTTCAGCTCGACTCGCGGATTTGAAACGGGCTGCGCTGCAATGACGACGAGCGACGTGAAGTTTTTTCACTTGGCGAGCCGTCGTGCAAATTCGTGCTTTCCGCCCGGCCGCTTCTTTCTTCTGACCAGTGTTTTGGCATCGTCGTGACAGACGACGCAACATTTTCGCGGACGATCAGTGCCAGTCAGTTTCACGTGTCCGCGATTACTACTTTGCTCTCTTTTGTCTCGCGACGCGTGGCTATCTGGGACAATGCGTTCGCATCAAAAAGTCTAGTCCGAGTGAAGAAACGCGCGTTTTCCCTACGTCGCTACTCGCACACACACGGTGTGTCCACTGAATATTATTAACTCTTACTTAGAAAAGAAATATATAAACAGTACAATGTAAGAATAAAAATTTGATAAGAATATTATATTTCGCTTTTCCTTCATTCCTTCGTTCCTTCTTCCGTCCGCGGAGAAGAACGCGCGATTTTATGGAGGGTCCTGAAGTCGATTAGTAACTATTGAGGGGAAAATGCGACAGGCACCTTTGTGAAAGGTAATTCGACTATTTACGAGCTTGACGCTATCTGCCGGCCGAGAAGAGATTTTACGAGCATGATAGGGAGAACGTTTGCGCTTACGAGCAGCGGTTGATCCTAAAATCGCGCTGTCTATCCTTCAGAGTCTAATTCAGCAAAGATTCACAACGCCTTTATCCTGTTCTCCACATACTCGAACGTTTTATACCCGGTATCACACGAAGGAGGGATGAAGGGTGCTTTCACAAAGAATTCATCCGACCCACGAACACGATGTTCTCGCTCGCTTTGTAACGCGAACAATCACGCGTGCAGATACACCTCGAATTTTCAGACAAGGGGCGCGACCGCGGAGTCATAATTCCCTCGGTGTAAGCGGCCATGAGACGACATCGTGCTTCGCGCTCTCGTGTGATTTATCGTGACTGGCGTGCGAAAATTAATTTCTAATTTAACTGCGAGCGCATGAAAGTTTCTGCGTGCTCGCGCGTCTCCGGAGAGACAGGCAGAGAGAGAGAGAGAGAGAGAGAGAGAGAGAGAGAGAGAGAGAGAGAGAGAGAGAGAGAGAGAGAGACAGAGAGAGAGAGAGAGAGAGAGAGAGAGAGAGAGAGAGAGAGAGGAGTGTCTTCGAAAATAGATATTATCGTCTCTAACATCCTACACGGCGACGCTCGCCAAACGCGCAAACGACGCGCAATAACGCGCGTCGCTTCATAGTTAGCTTGTCTCAGTCGCTTCTTCAACATCGCGATATTACCTCGAAAGCTCGCGCACGAGAGCGATTACTCGGCTGGGCCGTGAATTAGGTAGGCGTCGCATTTTGACTCCTCGGGCCTCGTGTCCGCTGCTATTGCTGTCACTACTACTACTACTACTACTACTACTACAATAAACCCGCGGGTTGCGCGTCGCGGGAGGTCGCCGTTTCGACGGCCCTGGGGAAGCGTCGCGACGCCTCGTGCATGCTTCGCAGTGCGAGGGTGCCGTTCGCCAGGAGTGCCGCGTTGTTTCCGCGCTCGTTCTCTCTCTTTCTCTCTCCCTCTCTTTCTCTCTTTGTCTCTCTCTCTCTCCCTCTCTCTCTCTCTCTCTCTCTCTCTCTCTCTCTTTCTCTCTCTCTCTCCATCTCTCTGTTCTTCCCCCTCGCGTGACCCGCCGCGACCTTCGAGGGTGAACGCGAGAGAACGCGCTTGTTCGCTTAAGTGGCGCGAGTGCGTGTCTCCAAGAACGCGTTAGCGAGGAACGTGAAAGCGAATTCGAGGCCGAGGTCGAAAGGTGCCGGCCGAGGGCATCACGCCGTCGTCGAAGGAGACGTCGCGTGGCGTTGCATGCCTGAATCAAGCACGTCCCGAACGAGCAGAGATAATAACCTTCGTGGAAGGACCTTGAAGTATCACCGCCGTCGCCGCCGCGACACACATCGCGTTACACCGTGAATATTTCAATACAATATCGATCTACCGCGTGTGGAACACTTGTACCGTGAGTGTCTGTGATCCTCTTTCTCTCTCTCTTTCTCTCTTTGTCTCTCTCTCTCTCTCTCTCTTTCTCTCTGTTTATCTTTCTATCTGTCTCTACCTCTCTCTCTATCTTCTATCGGTGTACCTCTTTAGCTATCTCTCCCTCTCTTCCTCTTTTTCTCCAATCCTGTGTGTATCTCGTTGCTCAAAGAAAAGTCTTCCCTTTCATCCGGCGCAGTCGGACGCTATTATGCGCGTGCTATCACTGTCACCCGGCGAATCTTGTTCGCGACCGGACGTGTGCGTGTGTCGTATCGCGGGTGTGAATATTTCAACGGCCTGAAATCGACCTGCCGCGCGCGCAGAACACGTGTTTGCTCGCGATACCGATCGCCGTTGTCCTTTCGATACTTTCGATCGATGTGGCTATTTTCCGCGCTGACTCCAATTCACTCACGCGAGTGTCAACGAAGCAGAGTACCTGAGCCGCGCGATCGCGTAGTGAGCACTCGTTCGCGAGTTTGTCTGTGCGTCGACTCGAGAATCGTCCTAGCGGATTAAAAAAGATCCCATTGAAACGAGAAGTCTTCCCGTCTGATGCTCGACCGCGCATCTCATAAGAGAACAATCCAAATGTCACGTGTTCGCGACCGATAAAATCACAGCCGCTCCTTTGCGGTATCCTGTTATCGCGCGGAGCCCCGAAACCGAAGTCCGCCGTCAATATCGCGTGTAGTGTGAATATTACAATACGTGATCGATCGATCGCATGGAGCACATGTTTCATAAATGCCTATATACGGCTTGTCGTGACTCCGACGTTATTTTTCCTCGGTTCGCCTCGGCGATGAATCGAATGAATGCGATATTTCCGATACGGAACACCAATGCTCTTGCACGGCGATTCGACAATGTGCGACAGAGCGCTCGAGCACTTCCAGCGAACGCCGTTCGCGATCGCCGACATCAACGGGCAAGAAGTAGATACAAGTTCCTAACAATCGTCACTTTCCGTTACTTCGCGCTTTATCCTTGCAACGCGGCCGTGTAATCATCGCCGATTGGATTACTGTCGTGAATATTCCAATATTACATCGATCTACAAACAGAGCAAAGCGAATCAGGAAGCACTTCCAAGTATTCGAGCTCTCCCTTTCCTCCTTTCTCTCTCTTTCAAACACATCAATAACATCGTTGTTTGATTCGACGCATGGCATAATTGCCCTCGAGAATCTACGCATGTAAAAAAATCCTTCACTCTCTATCCTAAAAATTCAAGCGTCTGATATATTTCAAGATCAACGTGCATTCGAATCGGATCCCATTTAAAATTTGCGGCTTATCCGAGAGAGATCGCCGAAATAACATACTTTTATCATACATCGTAATGCATAATATATTTATGCCTGAAAAATAAGATATTTTTCACATCCGTGTCTCTTCGATCACATTGCAATGCGAGCGCGGTATCGTCCGGCGTGCCCGTCGATTACGCGAATATCTCATACACGATGCGAATCTGCATCGTAAATTGCACCCTCGTCTAATAACCGCACTACCATCTCGCCGTGTAATGGCGCATCTAGTTGTCACACTGCGTGTTTCCTCGTCCTGGCCATAGATCGTCGTGAAAAAATATTCGCGGATCCAATTGTTCCCCGTATACACGACGGCAATTCTCGATCAAGCGTGTTTGACCCTAGTGGTAGTCGTAGCCGGCGTTGTCAGCTCGTTAATGGCATTCCGACAGCGGTGATAGACGACCGTCTCCTCCTTGTTTATGTACATCTACATATTATCCGCGGAGACAGCCGCTCGCTCGTCGTGTAAAACTCCGAAATTTGCATGGAGTTCGACCGGTCGCGCTCCCTCAGTAGTAACAGACGCCTGTGGTCGGCCGAGTTTAGCGTGACGGTCCGAGACGAGAAAACGTCCGCGAAATTAGCCTCGTTCTTATTCCGAGAGAATAAAAAATTCGTTTCTTACCGAGCTGTATTTGCATTTCGCATCGCATTGTGCGGAATACATGAAAACCGACCGATCGCTCTCCCAGTATTAGACGCTCGTGGTTGGCTAAATTTTGCGAAACAGATTGGAGAGGAGGGACGCGCTTGGCGCTCTTTATATTCCGATGGGATAAAAAGCCCGTATTTTACCGAGCTATATTCGTATTTCGCATCGCGTTGCGTGAGAAACATAAAAATCGACCGATCGTTCATACAGCGGACATTCGTGGTCAGCCAAGTTTAGCATAACGAGACGGTACGAGAAATCGCCTGCAAAACTAGCCTCGTTTTTATTCCGGAATAAAGAAAAAAATAAAAAGCTCCTGCCGAGTTGCGTTCGCGTTTTTGTGAAAAAATGTAAAAGTTCGCCAATCGCCTCTTCAGTAGTAACAGACGCTCGCGATCGGCCGACTATTCTCGCGACGAATCAGAAGGAAAAAACACCCGTCAAGTTAATTTCGATAAAGAATTAGTACTCGGTAGAGTACTGATTCTGCGTTCATATTTCTGCGGAAAATGTAAAGATCGATCGGGAAACGTCTGTCATGTGCTCGAGATTTAATCAGTTAGACAAAATGTCTCTTCGTAGCCAACCGTGGCAGTTTTCGCAACAGCATGCATACGTGGTTTCACGTACGGGCGCGGGGATAAATCTCGATCCCGGCACTTGCTTTATCGGCAAGGAAAGTTGAATTTTCTCCGCACTACGTGACTCAACAACTGAGCGAGACCGGAGGATTCTCGCATTTATCTCGCTGCGCCAGGATAAATTCCTCCCTCGGTTCATTGCCGCAGTGATGCAGCGTTCGCGCAGTTTGTTTCTCTCGCACGTAATTACTGGCGAAAACGCTCAGGTGATCCGCCTTTCCGACTCGGCGCTTCCGTCCGTTTCGAACGAGCCTGATCGAATTTTCGCGGCGTCTAACGTCAAACTGCGGAAGCGCCGGCGGAAACGAATGATAAATCGCGAGACGTCGAGATTTACTCCGGGCGCTCCAAAATCTCCTTTCCGTTTCTTGGAAAACTCATGCCGACGTTCTCCGTTCGTTGGTTCGTAACACTTTGCGCCGGGCGATACAAACGTCAAAGAAACGACAGACGACTTGCCTCGTGTCTGGTCGCGAACTATCCTCTCCCACACACACACACACACACACACACAGTCGTACACCCTCGATAGCTGCTATAGATCGGATGAAATAATAAACAGGCGTTTAACTCGTTAACTAATGTGCGTCGAACGTACGTCGAGCGATCGAGCGTATGTTTAAGAAGAACTTGTTAGTTCGCGAAAGTTTCAACTTCCTGCGCGTCGGACAAACCCGGAAGAATTCCAAAGTCCGCGCCGCGCGAATGCTAAATTTATCGATCGTGTCAGCGGAGAATCTCCACTAGCAAAGTTTTCACGCTATCGAGGCGGCATCATCGTCGGCGAGATAATAACGTCACGACGGAGGATTCAGTCGGAGGAACAACGCGTTCCTCGGCGGACGCCGAGTATCGTCCGATGTCGGTTCGAAAATTGAGTGATTAGTGTGTGTTCGCGGCTTGAAAGCTCGCTCGTTAGACGAGCATGCTCTCTCGGTCGCGTGGACGATCCGGTCTAAAAATATTGGAGAAGCAGCAGTCGATACAAATTACACTCTCCCCCTTACCTCCTCCTTTTCCGCCGGCGCCCTATCATTATTGAATAAAACACTGAGCATTAAACCGCGCGCGGATCGAAGCCGATCTCTCGTTTTCACGCACCTATGCCTGCGCGGTGCGCTATCGTGACAAAGCAGTCTGCTTTAGATCAATCGAGAGACTCGCTGCTATTAAAGTTCGTGCCGTTCCCACGACGAGACAGTTCTCCCTCGAAGAGGCGAACGTCAGTCGACTCTCGCGCGCGTCGCGTCGCTCTTAATCCGAGACTTCGCGCGTTAACACTTCGCAGACGATTGAGACCCTTCGCAGCCTCGGGTTACGCTGAATTCTCCGGAGAAGAAAGTGGGAATGTTGCGAGGAACGCCTATTAACGGCCTGAAGGCCGAATGCGTTCGAGTAAAAGGACGTGTACGAATCGTGTCGAACGTTGGATACGTTCGGGACGTTAAATAACGAACACAACGGGACGTTAAATAACTCGATACCGCGGACGATTAAATATTAAACACTATAAACAGTCCGAGATGGCCATTTCCGTCAACAATAAGGATAATATCTTATCCGATCGATCCCGCGATGCCGCGAGTTCCGTGTCGTCGGTTGAAATGTATCAGACTGAAAGAAAACGTTGAAGACGGACGAGGCGCGCCGTGGCCTTGCGCGCTGAAATTATCGTTAGTTTCGTTCGATAACCTCGGCCTACCCGATACACACGTTGCAACACGACTCCGCTAAATCCGTCGTGTTATAACGGTCCTACGCAAAATCGACGGAATGTAGCGTCGGAGTAAAAGTTGAATCGCGACTTGGGCTGCGAATAGTAACTGAGTAACTTCTCATCCCACGCGTTGCGTCGGCTTCTAAGATCGTTCGTTTCTTCCCGCCTCACGGCTCTCGACGTGCTCGCTCGGTGATGTGCATCACGATGAAGCTTGTTTGAAAAGTGGAAGACTTGTCGCGACGCGAGATGCATCAGACAAAAATGGACTGCGACGTTGTTTATTAATACGCCATCAGTGCGCGAAAGTATCACGAGTTCTCATCGTTACCGCTCGCACGACTATACTAATGTTGACGTGTTGCGTAAACACGAGTTGTTACAGTCGATGTTTTACGCGAGCTTCCTTCACGAGTGCGTGCTCCCCGCGGGCTACGGACTAAGGCTTCGAGAGGAGGTATCGCGATGTCAGTCTAATTCATGTCGGATATAAATTCGCGGCTTCTCCCTAGCGGCCGCACGCTCCCGCGAGTTCGTCTCATCGGGATTCGCACAGTCGGTGCCATCGGCCGGACGGCTTTAAACCCCGACGATGCAAATGTCGTGCGACGAGCCGCCACGACGTTTTCCCCCTGGCTCGAGCGCGACCAAGTCTTACGGTCTGGTCGACCAGGTTCGTAACGCGTCGAGGTCGTTAGTCTCGTAGCACAGCCCGCCAATGAGTTAGGCGGTCGTCGGCGTGCCCAGAATAGTACGGAAAGAGAAAGAGATAAAAACGAGTAAAAACGAAAACAGCACCGTCGGAGAAAGCGCAGAACCTACACGAAACCGTATACCGTATGCGGGATTTAGGGAAGACCTAAGGAAACGCTATAAACATCCCTGTACCCTCCCTTGTGATCGTCGCGCACCGTCACCGCCACTGCCACTCTTCCACGCGCATCCTCGAGCACCCGCCGAGTCGGCCGAGAAAATGTATCGGCTCGTATAAAAGCCAAAAGAAAAAAAATACATAAAAAAGAGAAAAGCCGAGTAACGAACAACCGAGAGAAAAGAAACGAAAAACAAAAAAAAAACAAATACCACACCCACACCACACACATTGTTGCGAGAACGCTGACAGTAGCGAGAGCCCCGAGTCAGTCATGAATCTTATGTTCCGCAAGAACTTCGGGGCCGAGAAGGGACCCAGTGGTGGCGGCGGAGGAAGTGGAGGAGGACTGGGAGAGGTCAGGCCCGTCCTGGGCACCACTTACGGTACCGTCGGGGGGTCCTCGTTCGGCCAGTTAGGGACGCGTTTTGGCGCGGCGCGCAGCGGCCAGTCGGTGGTCGGCGGCGCGCGCGGGCCCATACGACGCAGCCGGGAGTTCGGATACTTTCCATCAATGGGCGATCACGAGCACCAGGGACACGGATATCGCACTCACCTGTTCCTATCGCCGCCCGCAGGTGGGACGCTCGGCTCGCCGCCCGAGGACTCGGGCGAGCGGCTGGGCCCGCCGCCGCGTCGTAATTCGGGCCCGCATGTGATCAAATGGGGCGGCGGCGGTGGGCCAGTCGCCTCCGCACAGGGCGCGCAGACCGCCGGCGGCCAGGCCAGGAGGAAGCAGAACCAGATCGCCCAGCAGAAGGAACCCTCCGACCCGCCGACTCCGACCGCGTCCAGGCAGGTAGGTGCGGGGGCTTTGAGCATGCGAGGAACTGGAAAAGGAGCGAGAGAAAGGAGATGAGCGCGTTTGTCCTTTTGATGTGCTTGCGCGTAATTTTTCGTCCTCTTCAGTCATTTTTATCACGACTGCGTTCGTCTCAGACAATTCTAATTTTAGTACTCTAGTCTAATAGTACGCGCGGAATAAACATTTCAGTCCACTAGTTTATATTTCGCGTTCGGTGAGTCTTAATAAGAAATTGACGACTCTGAACGCCGGCAGTCATGTTCCCGAATTTTTTAAATCTCTATCGAGAGATTTACGAAATGTTTTTCGTCAAAAAATTACATGGTCGACGTTCTGCTGTGATATTCTCAGTAGTCAATTTGTCAAATCCCTCCCTTGAATCCTTCGCTTAAATGCGTTTTGTAGTGTCTCTCGATGCATCGTGCAACTTGCACGATAAGGTAGCATGTCAGCTTATTCATTCTCTCACTAATGGCCAAATTCTTTGTTATTGTTAAATAACGATAAACGGGCAAGCGTATAACGGGCAGAATGGCACGCTAATGAACTATCGAGCACATTTATCTCATAACGTAAGTGACGCATGGAAAAGCACCAACGCGGCGAACGTTGCCGAGCAATTAATCCTAATTGTAGTAATCTCTCTCGCAATCGACCGAAACGGCGGCGTTACCCGCGATGGTGTGGAAACAGATTAATCCGCGATCGCCACGTCGCCTCGTCACATCGGAGCTGTGCGATGAACGAGATGAATGTCGCGTGCGGTGCTCCCTTAAATAATAGAAGAGTTATCTAGATGGAGAGAGAGAGAGAGAGAGAGAGAGAGAGAGAGAGAGAGAGAGACTAGGGCTCTCCCGCCGGACACGGCGCTCGGCAAATACCGGGTGTCTCTCGGCGGACTAATTACTCTCGATTGCTGTCGCTATTATTGGATCCGCGCGCTATAACGTGCCATTCTTTAAAGTGGGCCATCGGGCAGCGAGGAATTTCGTAATAAAGCCAAGTTACGGAGGAAATGGGAGACCGTTTGCGGAAAAGGAGGGAGGCATAAAGTTGCACCTAGTGAGCGCGAGAGCTCAAGCGGCACGCAAAGTCGCTATCTTGCCGGGCGTTCTCGCCGGGATTCGGGGGACGTGCCGTAAATTTCGTCGCGGCAGAGTTCTCGCGCGACTGTTCGATACTTAACGTTTATATTATACGAGTCCGACCGTTCGTTCGCTCGTATCGCATTCCGTCGCGATGTCTTCGCGGACGTTTACTGTGTCGTATTCCACAGAGGAGAGGAAACATTTCGGGCCAGAGGCGCATTACGTAAATGGCGCGATGAGGCTGTCGCGAAGCCACGCGGAGGTGAACGGCGAATTTAACGACGGTCGTTTAACCCCTTGCGAGCGGCGGGAGATACATGACAATTCCCGGCTGATTGTGTATAATCACCGAAAGATAATGGCGTTTTAAACAGTCGTCGTGAGAGGTCACGAGAGAACAGCGTGAGTCGTCGTCGAGTTCCACCGCGTTTGTTCCACCGTCGCGATTATCGCGATCGACATTCCGCTTCTTCGGTGCCGCAGGCGGTGCGTGAAACACCTGAAACACCAAGGAGAAACACAAGAAGACGCGTTCCGCGAAGAAAACTCGTTGTCGGACTTTTCGCGCAATCCGCGGGGAACGAAGCAGCGCGAGACGCCGGCGCAAATATTCGCCGATTGAAGCATCGCGCTGCGGCTTTGCACGTAGTCTTCGCGAAGACCGCAGTGTCACGTCGGGTGACCTTTGACTTTTGCGATGCCTTGGACATTTACCGCGACGTACGTTGTACGTAACGCAGCGCGATTGAATATCGTTAACATTATACGCGCTGCGGTTGCCTTTCCTCTGTTTATCGACTAAACGCGCGAATGCGGAAAATGCGTACGGACGTAAAGAAGACGGATCGCGTGCGGACGAGCGCGATGTGAAAGCTCGCGTTCTGAAAGGGAAACTTGCCCGTGCAAGGGAAACGAGTGCAACTCAGCAAGTGGCAGTCAAACTCCAACTTGTGACCGTCAAATTCGGCCGAGTGGAGAAATTCGCTTCTTTCGAGCGATAGTGCAGTTTTTATAGATATGTAAAAAAAGGCGTGGACTCCCTCCACTCAAAGGCATAATAAAAGATTGATAAGTCTCTGGTTGATCCTTGATTGGATCTTTAGATTATTTAGATTATCTAGTCATTTAATAACGCGTTAATTGAGCGCTTTAAAGCTGTACAGCTGTAACTCACTCGTAAGGGAAATATCAACAGCGAACGTTTACTTTACGACAATCATCGATAAGCGATCAGGTTGTGTATTTTGAGGTAACAGCGACTCTGGAGCTTGAACTTCGCGAAGTGATATGTAAAGACGAAAGTAGCGCTGCGTGCCGTGCGTGCAAGCACAATGCAAATAGAGAATGCCAGCGAGCGCACGACAACGCTGTCCGATACACTATTTTTAAACACTTAAACGGCATGTAAATTGCCATCGATCGCACTTGCTTTTCCCGCACACGGCACTTTGCGCGATACATTAACGAACATATGCATAAGTGTCTCCTATGCACGTGCCATCCCGCTAATACGCGAAGTTGCGCGTTCGAAATTTTCCGTTTTTCGCGACTCGACGCGCGTGACCGTATGTAGAGAAACGTGGAATATTTGCGCTGTATCTTTCGGCGAAAGTTTGATCATGAGATCAAAAGCTGTAAGAAACAAGAAACAAGAAACCGCGGAAAAAAGTGGAAGTATCTGAGCGGTGGAAATTCAGTTACCGGGAATTGTTCGCCCGCAGCGAATATTAATCGAAGCTTGATGCAACGAGATAATGCAGATAACAATCAGTTACTTTGTAACAATGTATCGTTATTTCGCTTTAATAACTCGAGAATTGAGAAACGTTTCAAGCTTTGGCCAGCATTCGCATCGCGCGTAATTTCCGATAATCGACATCGTACCCTTCGAATGCGCTTTTATTTCTCCCCCTCCTCCTCCAACTTTTTCATCATAGTTGCAGCAACATCGCGCACTCTTCGCGTCCGTGCTCATTTCTGTTTCACAAGAAGCGACGTGTTCGCGGTCGATCAGCCGATCGGCCGCAATGAAAAATTGCGAGACGGCGCGAGATCAATCGCTAATGCCAGGCTCTCGCTGCAAAATTGACATGCAACGTATTTCGTGCTGCATCGCGCGTACGTGAATTATAAAAATTGTAAAGACTACGAGAGTGCGCCTTGTACGTGAAAACGCTGGGAAACGCGAGGCCGGACCGAAGCCACGGCTGCGGCGACCGCCGTCTGCGCCGGGCGCAAGTAGAAAGAGACGAGTTAGGTCAGACATCCTGCACGGCGGGCGTGTACGTGTAAATGTGTAGCTACGGCATTCTGTCTGTATCCGCAGCCTATTCTCATTTTATTCGGGAATGTATTTACCTTGACATTTTTACTATTGCTGCTTCAAACGTATTTACTAGATATATCCGCACGCACGAATATACACAGAGAGAGAGAGAGAGAGAGAGAGAGAGAGAGAGAGAGAGAGAGAGAGAGAGAGAAAAAGAGAGAGAGAGAGAGAAAGAGAGAGAGAGAAAGAGAGAGAGAGAGACACACATACACACACATACACATACACACATATGCACGAGGGATGTCCCGGCTCTTCTAGTTTTAACTCTGCAATAGTGGCTCATGGCCTCGTAAACCGCGACATCGATCCCCCCTGTCTCGGGAAAATTTCACGGAGTTTTATTTTTCGGGGACTATAGGACGGAGGAATAATTCCGAGTGCATCATGCTCGAACGAGTGTTCAATTTCGGCGACCAACGCACGACGCGTTCCAATCGGGCGCGCCTGCATATCGCTAATAATTAGGATTACGATTTAACGGCGATCCGAATGACAAGCGCTTTCATTTCGCGCATGTTTCCGACTGATGTCTCGGACGTTCATTTAATTACCGATGTTCGTGTCGACCTTGTAAGCACGGCGCTAAATACTGCGGACCTCATGCCGGTATGAGATATTAAATGTGTGCATAATTGATGAGCGCAAGGGTACTGTTTCTCTCTCTCTCTCTCTCTCTCTCTCTCTCTCTCTCTCTCTCTCTCTCTCTCTCTCTCTCTCTCTCTCCCTCGCGATATGTGGCGTTTAACCGTGGACATTAACGTGCCGCGCGTACTCCCATTATAATTCGCTAATTGTGTTACGGCTTGCAGGTGTCCTTCAGCGGCAACCGTGCTTCCGGCACCTACACACCCCTCGTGGTTTCCGGAAACAGTCCACCGCGAGGCGAACCAATCTCCTTGGCCACTTTGGACCGCGACTGTTTTATCATACCTCTTGCTTCTCTCGAGCGTTTTTTACCAGCGGGCGTGCCGGTGAGTTAACAAGAACGTCGACTTCGGCTTTGCTCCGAGATTCTCGGAAGAAATCAGCGCCAAATCAGACGAGGCGCACATTTATTGTAACACTTGTCATAAACTTTTGCTCGTTAAGATATCAGTCAAAGTCTCAATGATAGTCTAAGACGGACCAGATATCATTCGGTCAAATATCATTGTCAGAGATCTATTTTGTACGATCAAATAACCGCGTAGACGCACAATCAAGGACTGTTACGGCGAGAAAAGCGTCCGGCAAAAGTATAACAACTGAGCTATTGGCCTTAGACTCGTACGAGCCGTGGCCTTGCGTACGCGAATGTCGAACGTCTAAAAATAGTTGCGGTATATTCACTAGACAACTCATAATGAAGCTTAGCCTCATGCGTCGTGACTTGCCGAGAGACGCTGTTATTTAATGAAACGGTAATCACATATAATTGTTGCGTACACCTTTGTTATAAAAAAATTATCGCAGACACTCGCCCCTCTTCATCTCGCCCGACTTCAATTTCAAGTCTTATTAATCGTTATGAATTCTTTTTGGTCGCAGCACGCTCCCGTCGCCGACAAGAAGAGACCGGGCAGCCCCCTGTCGGTTCTGGAGGTGGAGGATCCAAAGCAATGTGTTCTCGCGCATTTCATGACACCACTGGAGCCTCTAGACCCTTTAGTCGAGTCTCCAGTGTCCCGTCCGCTGGTGCTGCAACGCGATACAGCGGCGGAACTAGTCGCCGAGATAGCGCCTTCCGCGTCGCAGAGCATTTTACTTACGAACATGGAGAAGAACGGTACGTAATTGGGATATAACGCGCACCTGATGGGTCGAGACACTCGAGATCCCCGGACGCAATCTATTAGCGTTCCTAACATACAAGAAGCTCGTAAATTTGCCCGTGAGAACACCGCGACGATGTTTACAACACGGGCCGCGTAACGAGAGCACCGAGATTCTTTTTACTTCACGAGCGGCGATTCTTGAAGCGAGAAAGTATAAAATTTCGCTCAAATTACTATTCACGTTTTGCCTGTCGGATAAAAAAAATATACGTAGATGAAAGTGACACGTGGCTCTTACCGGCGAGGAATACTAATTGCCCTGGAATACAATTATCCCGCGACCGATTCAATACGAACGAAATCCGAGTAGACGACGTAACGACGAGTCCTTCTAAGATCGTTTACCTGAGCTCCCGTGCGTTTCAGCGGATTTCCCGTTCATCACGTATTATCTAATAAACAAGCAGAACACGGACCCCGTGGACTTTTACAACGAGGTGCAGTGCGCGGCTCTACGTAAGTTCGATCCCCGGGACCTCAGATACGCGGCGAGTCACACGTTGGACCTGTTCAACGAGGTAGCGACAATCGCGAGGCCGCCACTCGAACCGCCCGGTGGAAGACCGCCTATTCCGTCCACCGGCTACATAGTGTCGATCTTCAAAGTTTTCGAGGGCGACGACGGCCTGAAGTTCGAACAAAATTGGCTTTACTGGACAGGTGAGCGTCTACGCTTTCTAATTACAACAATCTCTTTTCGCGTCGATGATTGCGAGCTGTATTTCGACATTTTTCCCTACGCTCGGAGACTTGACAACGCGAAAGTTTATCTCCGGTTATGACACGATGACATTTTTCTCGTGCGTTCCTCAGATTTTTCAACTATTCGTGAAATGAGCAGATCCTCGCTTGCAAATTCCACTCGTCAGAATGCATCCCCCTGAGGGAGACACGAATTTCAACGAGCAGAGAAACAACATTGTCTTCTGCGTTTTTGTTTTCTGTGGCGTTGTGTAACAAGGTATTTTTTGTTTGTTTGGTTTGCAGGCGCGCGTATGATGTACCGATACCTGCCGAAATCGGTAGGTCTGAGGCGCATCACCTTGCACAAATCGATGTCGCAGGGCGACAAAATGTATCTGCTGATCTGCGAGTGCTCGCAGCTACAAGACAATCTATCCGCGGCGGCGATACTTCTGCCGGCGCTCCGTGCACGCCTATGCGGATACACCGGACTTTACAGGCCCTCCGTGTGTTTCTGATTCCTCACCCAGTTGTTAGAATCTGCGAAGAGCACTGTTTCGAATCACATTACGTGCATCTCCGCAGAAAAATCCGAGTGAAACGGTATTGTAGCGGTTCCGGCATTCTTTATCTTTCGTTTCTTTCGCTCTTGATCAATGTCGATGATGACACTTTTCTACTGCGATACAATACGAAATACTATAATGCGATACGAAAAGCATTTTTTTTTTTTAGTAACGATAACTGTCCACAGGCATCGATTGATACTTTTGAATATCTAACTGTGCCTATTTCCATTACAGACACGTAATTAGAGCAGCAGCAGCAGCAGCAGTGGGTGCCAAGAAAGAAGAACGCGATACCGATTTGCAAAAATTGAAGAATATCATCGCGAACGCCGCTAACGAACGAGACACTGTGATTTCCTATCGTACTATCTATTATAAGAAACGCAACTTCGTATACGCTTTAGACGAATCTTGTCGAAAATCGACGGAACGGCCTGCATGCTCGACTTAGACACGCCACTGGACCTGTTTGTATTTTTCGACTTTACTATTTCGTTCATTATGCAAACGAGCCTTGCTCCGGTAGAATCACCAAACGAATAAGAAACGAGACAGATCGAGGGGTGTCAATTGACGGAGAATCTTGTAATATACGTAACACGAGAAGAAGTGTCCGAAATGAACGAACCATCGAGTACAGATTGAAGCGCGAGGACCTTCGATTCCTTCGTGGGGAAATTGAAGGGAAGAAATGTATAGTGAAATACACGTTAACCATGCGAGGACGTCCCTACTCTCACCCTATGAGCATCGTGATACACAAACATAATGACACATGCGACATACTTTTACTACTATTGATAACTATCGAATAATCGCTAACTACATATCATACTCGATAAACTGTGATATTCGGGCGAGCGGCGTATATATCACAATGGGAGAAAAACCACCCTCTTGAAACTACTCTTGAAATGCTACTCAACTTTAAGTAATTTAGGCACGTGGTAGATGGAAAGATCAATTCGCGGTAGATCGCAATTTCAAGTCTCTTTTATCGATTATCTTCGTATTTGATAATACATATCCGTACGCGGATTATTAACGCCCGCGGGACTTGATTAGCGGACGGTGCGGGGATGTGGGTAAAAATAACAAGCTCCGAATGTTGAGATCTCGAAAAAGTGCACGTCGTGTTTTTTGCGTGTGGCCATTACTCTTTCGTCGTTAAAGAAAAATTATTTCTTTGTCCGAAAGAAACGCTATTACATTTTCGAGAGATCGAATAGAAAATATTAGGTCACTCATTTTTATGTTATTTCATATCGGTTAATAATAATTGCAGTCATTCTGTTGTGAGAAATCTTATCACGAAGGATCGCAAAAGTATATTCGAGAAAATAATTTAGTTATAATCATTGATTTGTTCGCAATAATTCATGAGTTTGTATTTTACCATGATTTTGTACTTTACCCACGTTCAATTTAAAAGTTTTCTCCAAATACGTACCGGGAGAAAGACGAGAGTAGAGCGAAGGCATGCGCGGGAGAAGCTTATGCAGATCCCATTTTTTAGGTGCCTATAGCCATTTTAGAGAGTGAGAGAGTAGCGTGAGTTGGCATCGTAGTACAAAAAAAAGAAAAAGAAAAAAGAAAATCGTATAGCCGATATACGCTTGTTGCATACAGACAATAGCTAGGGCGATTACGCAGGCGTAATCGTCACCTGGTAGATTTTTAATAAGATAGTCGATATACCCGTGTAAAACGGCGTGCTTATCATACGCCGAGTTCGTACTCGCTGAACACAAAGTGGAACAAAACGCTCTTGATTATAAGAAAAAAGAAGGAAGTAAGAAAAATATATAAAAAAAATTCACGATTCTACTGTGATCATACGCGTATCATGTTCGATACACACATCCGTGTGTGCGATTAAAAAAGCGGAACTGTGAAATACAGTACATTAAACAGTCAGCCAATGGTGTCCAGTCTACGGTATGCATGTCATTCGCAGAGAAAAATATTCATTAAAATCAAACTGCGCTAACCAAACGTGTCTAGTTGTTACATTCGCATTTCTTCATTGCATATTTATATGTTTGGATTTTGGATTTTGCACGATATTTTGCACATAAATTTGAGGAACATTTTAACGTGACGTTATTTTAAGAGACGACTGGATACCATATTGCAACCCTTTCAGTAGAATTATGAGATCTAGATAATTTTTTGCTGATTTCTATTTACTTAACTATACCAAACATTTTTTTTTTGCTTTTACATATAATATTGCTGAACTAACACTGCAGAGAAATCAGCATTGCTGTACTTTTTTTATAAAATTATTAATGCAAGCGCATGCGATTCATGACGCGAAAGTACTGAAAGGGTTAATAATACGACCGCTTTTGTTCTTCGAGAAGCAACGCGGCACATTTCACATTTTATCTACAAAGAACTTTTGCTCTATACAAGAATATATCTTTTCAAAGTGACTTTGCGATCGTACGAAACATCGTATTTCTTTGTTAGGACTAATAACGGATTATCTCATGAGGAAATAGGAATTTCGATGGAAATTGTATCATGATGCATGGAATAAATGCGGTGAATTGTACGGCGTATTGTTGCTTCGCAAATATGATACATTTATTAAAATCGTGTACAACGAATATGACGAAGAATTAATAAATCACTTCTAACATTAAATCATATTTCTTTTCTGCCTTCATCAATGAGTCATGCTTGCATTTCCCAAATTTTATTCTTTGATATTTATAAGAATATTTCTTCACAAAATATTCAGTGGAAATGCAACTAAAATATATAAGAAATAAAATATATCTTACTTTGTAACTAATAACCTTTGGGACCCTTAAAACGCCGTCTTCCATCAAGCTGTAAAAAAAAAAGTTTAACTATACTGACGTTTGAACTTCATATGATTTATTTTATACCCTAACTCTAAGAAATAACTTTTATTTCTTATATTTATACAACTCAATAAATTCATATATATACTTACTATAGAATGTTTACATTCAAAGAAGGTGATACGCAAAGCAAAACATTCATCAGGTACTGTACCATCGTACATCCTAAGGCATTCTCTGGGTGTACGCTTATGCTGTAATAGAAAAACAAAAGTAAAATATATTATTTATATAATTTTATATATATTATTAAATATAACACTTTTAATTACAATTATATAATTAGCACCATGAACTTAATTATCAATTTCATATTCTGTCCACCTAAATACACAACATACCAAATTTTATTTAAATCGACATGGAGATATACCTATTATTATTCAACATACCTATTAAAATTTTGAAGCTTTCAGTAGATTTCAGCATACGAATTAAGGGATATAATATATATTCATTGCGTCATATACTTATTTATATTTACTTAAATGCTTATGACAACGGAGAAATAAGAAGTATAAAAAACGCATTATTTATCCTTAAACATTATCTATATGCGTCTAAATATTTAACAACGTTTAAGAACGTTACAATGTTAGGTTATATTGCGACGAGTTTATGTTTACTTACAATCTTACAACAATCACTTTCAAGCAGACACATCTTTAAATCAGCACGAATGTTTGCACAGCGGGATTTATCCTTTAGTGTTTCACCTTCTTCTGAATATTCCATTATTTTGAATAGCAGTAATTGATTTAAACGGTCGGAGAGAACGTAACATCTGGCGCGTTTTTTACCTAGCAAAACATGATTATAACCTAATCTAACCTAATCTGACTGCTGCATACGCGTGCATCTATCTGTCACAACAGAGTATTTGTGACAATACTTTTTTTATATTTTCTATACAGACGTGATATATGGTTTAATATCTTTGTCCAAGAAAGACGAACTTATTTTAAATACAATATTAGATAATAAAATATTAGAGAAATCAGTGAATATAACGTGCAAGAAATGCAAAAGTGCCGTGTAATTCGAGGTTATGCAACTAATATTTTAACGTGTTACTGTTTTATTTTTTAAGTTTATGTAACACTTTTGTAACAGAATGATGAACAGGTACTAATCTAAGCTGAATTAGTATGTGCATGTAGTTAATCCTAGTCAGAGATCCTTGCTATCTTGTTTAAAAAACTATCTTGTTTAACAAGATTTCATAAATATTCAATCGAATTAATTAAAATAAATTATATAGTTTAATATGTGAGAGAAAAAGATTACATGTATATAATGATAATAATGATAAATATTTAGACAGGGAATTCATTTACGTGGAAACCAAAAGGAAGGTTCTCCACATTATGTATATTTGGATGAAGAAGACTGCGATGAGAACATTATCCTACTAAATATCAATCAATCCTCATCAAGGCTTCATAAGATTGAGGTGATCAATGTGGAAGTAAAACCTGGTGATACTTTACAAGCATTAGCGCTTCGTTATAGTTGTACAGTAAGTGGATTATATATTTTACTATATATTTTAAATGGATAAATATATTTGTTGTGCTAATATTTTTAATACTTTTGCATAATTTTAGATATCTGAATTAAAGCAAATTAATAAAATTGACAAAGAGAATGAAATACATGCCAAGCCTTATATCAAGGTACCTGTACAGCCATTTTCTGTTTTAACTGAAAAAAAGTGTGATAATGTTGTATCAGCACAAAACAGTGAAGAAGAATCTGTGAAACAAGAATTAAACTTAAATTCCACTTCAACTAATATACAATCTTCAGGTAGTGAAATTAATTCAATTATATTAAATTCAGTATGTACACCTTTATTGCCACACAACAACATTAAAATTTCACATACAGAAAACAATAGTTTAGCTAGCAATAGACAACGTACAGGAATAATGAGAGATATATTCAATTGTTCTGGAGATGATTGTGGATTGTCTTGGAGGCAACTTTTCATATGTGCTTTCCTAGTAGTTTTTATAATACCTATCATATATATATACATATATATAACTAACATATTTGGACGTGCATTGAAGAAAAATGTAACTACAACTAACTGATATTTTTCTGCAAACAATTAAGATAGAAAACTAAAAGAGGATAAAAAGGTATTTTCTAAAGTATTCAAATGTAATTGGACATGCTAAAATTGCATTTGAGTTTTAAATTGCACAGATATGATTCTTTTTTTACAGTGTGTGTGTATATATGTGTACAGGTCTAAAAGATATTTAATATCTTAATAATTAATATAATAATAATAATTAATTATATATAATATTTTTAATTGATTAAAAGATATTTAGTTTCCTAAGAATAATTTTGTAGCTACATACAAGTATTTTCTCATTCTATTTTGTTTAATATAATAATGATATTTTGACATCTATTATAATAGCAAAATTCAAGGTTTCAAGATTCTTTATATTGAGCGTGATTATTAAAAACATGATATTACTAATACTATTGACAATGGTTTGTAGTATATTTTTATGAGCTGAATTATCACATCTCATGTAGTCAAATATTAGTTTGTTATATAGCAAACACAATTGCGATGAAAAGTGGAGAAAGACATTTTGAAGTAAATACTCCTTTTATACTTACAAACTCGGTGCCTTTTTATAAGTATAAACCGTCCATTGTTGATTTAAAATTAAAACATTAAACAAATTTATCTGAATTATGTAAATGCAATTATATAATAAAATTCTAATTAATATATAAAATTAATTCATAATATTCTCTCTAATCTAATAAGAAGTTATTTAATTTTACAAGGTATATATTATATACATATGTATTCTTAATATGTTATATTAATATATAAATATGTTAATTAGTATATTGTTTTATGTATGTATTAGTATGATAATTAGTATAAATATTAATATTAATATATTAAATAATATTAATATATTACTTAATATATATTAATATGTTATATTAATATATTAACATTAAGTTTTTAGTTGGTTGTGAGAAAATTTAGATCAAACATTTGTCACTGACTTCAATCTTACTGCTGTTATGCTGTTTTATCCCTCATATATTTCCTATTATTTTATTTCATGTTACATATAGAAATCTGTATTATGATAAATGTTGGCCTTATGTGGTGTAAGAGATATTTCTTTCGAGACGAATTGCACTTCTTGTGCTATGTATTGATGTGATTACTTCCAAATTTATTCTTTCTATTATTAACTGTGAATCTATTCTATAAATTCGCAGTTAATTGTTCTCTGATTAATCTCTGATTAATCTCTTTTTTTCTTTTTAGGAAAATTTATTATATCTAAACGCGTCATTTCGCTCATATTGCATTTTATTTGCTGCATGATTTATACTAATTATGTGAAAAATATAGAATTCCATAAACGAGAAATTCTGGCAATATTTTTTTAATATATAATAATTCTGTAGAACCGTCATATTGTCTTAGTGAGGTAGATTTTAGAATAACAAATTTTTATCAAACACACTGTTAGTAATGATTTTATGTATCAATTTTTGCTTAATTATGATTACATCTTTTTAATAGAGATACAGCATGATTCTCATTTATACTTTTTTAAAACATGTCATTTAAATAACATTTATATGATACTATTATAACTTCTTGTCTATTTTTCTCCATATTTAAATATTATACATTTTTTTCCTAACTCTGATAATGCTATTTATATAATATATAAACTCTTCTTTAACCAAAGGCTTCAGTATGATTCTGCATCTATTTTGACATCTTTTTGGTTAATACATCCAATTGATATCTAACTATTTGTATGTTTTATCAAATTACATTTTGTGACTCATTTTGTGACCATATATATTGTAATATTATATTAATACAACATATTAAGAATTTGCGCGCACGCATGATACACACATATACACAGCATATATCTAGCAGAGAGAGAGAGAGAGAGAGAGAGAGAGAGAGAGAGAGAGAGAGAGAGAGAGAGAGAGAGAGAGAGAAATCAAGCTTCTCTTAAGATTAAGTTATAAATTATAAAATGATGTTTTATTCCAGTTCAGAACAATATATTGCCAAATTACATGTATATGTGAAAATATGTAATGTATGTATATATGTAAAATATCATTTTTATATAATTGTTTCTTGTGTGTTGAAACATTTTGAAATATATTTTTAATAATTGTGTATATAGAAAAAGTGTATTATTCTTTAACAATCTATAGTCTTCTTTAAATTGTCTTCCAAATATCCTTACTATACGTGTGAATGTTGTAAAAATAGAATTAAAAATTTCAAAAAATTCGAAGCATCTATTTTAATGGAAATAATGGTTTATTTCTTATTAATTATGCTAATTTTTTGATATCCATTGTTTTTAAAGTATTGTAATTACTTACGTGAATATAATTTAATTGCAACAAATTATAGAAATGATAAAAAAGTTTGCAATAGTTATTCTAAAGATAGATTTAAAATATATTTTTACATATTAAATATATTATTTTCATAGGAAGATTTAAAAAGATTTAACTAATACAACAAACTTTTCATTTATTTATATTTATATAATTTTCATTAAACCAATATTGGAAGAGGCAAGAATTTTTCAAAAAGCGTAAAAATATGCACAAACACATAAATGATAAACGTAAAAAATTCTACTTTTTGTGGATATCAACATTGAATTAAACACGTATTGTATGATCAGTTATTTTGCGCGTATAAAAAATCTATAATGATATTATTTGAAAATAAAAGATTATCTAACTTTTGTTGTTAATTGCACACAAAAGTAGCAAATAATGCTATCTGTTGCGAATATCTTTACTTCATAGCAAATACTTACTAATTGTTCTTTCGGCGGGTAGAAACCGTTAAGACACCAATTTGAAGGCCAACCATGATACAACTCAGCCTTCTTAACGATTTATGCAGCACAATGTCCTTTCCAAGAATATTCATTAATATTTTGTCGTAACACAAGCGCGGCACACGCTTTCAGCATTTTCGTCGGTTCTTTATGCATGAAAACAACTATTGACAAATTGAAATTGCGAGAAATGCGGTTTTATAGTCTTAAATCACTGACGAGGTGATTATCAAAGACTATCACTTCTGCATAAATTTTCGTATTGGCAAAGGGCCTCAAAGATCCCCCGTACGGTACTCATGATAATTGCAATATTCAACACTATCAAAAACTCTTCGTAATACACCCTACTGATGGATCAATTTAGCGATATTATGCTACAACAAACATGTGATACTTATTCTTTTCATTAAATTACACCATGTAACGGGAAGATGAATTAATCAAATTTGTATATTTTAATAAAAGAATAATGAATCCATAAATTAATTGAACATGCACATGAATGTGTAGAAATTTTATTTCCTTTCTCTAGAGTTAAATGTATCTCTTACAGTATACGAATTTACATATTCACAACTGTTTCTTTTGTGCTGGTGATATAACAATCGCACAAGTCTTATATTTTTATAAATTTAATATTAATAAATATGTATTCTTATAAAATGTCTCAGATCTTTTATGAAGAAAATGATTGTAGTAATACTCATGGAGCAAACGTATAAGATTTTCATATTATCTACAATGTATTGTATATTTATTCAACCTCTGTAATTTCTATTTAATTTAATTACATGCATAAATAACAAAAATAATACTCTAATTGAAAAAAAAACTTAAAATTTCTTGAAGCTTTTTTTAGATCCAGTTCCTTTAGAAACTTTCAATACATTAAAGCGCACAGTTTTGCTCAATGGCCGACATTCTCCTATGGTAACCACATCACCAATTTCAACATCCCTAAAATAGTAAATTTTCATTTATGAGTAATAATTATGGATTACTTTATTCTTTTTTATTATTGTTATATATTTTACTCAGTAATACGATATAATCTTCACAAAAAATATCTTTATCAGTAGACCGTCGTTGTTATCATCACATAAGAACAAAAGAATAGTGGATGTTTGAATATTAAAAATAATTATATAGTGCTATATACCTGAAGCAGGGACTAAGATGGACACTCATATTTCTATGACGCTTCTCAAATCGATTATATTTTCTTATGTAATGTAGATAGTCTCTACGTATAACTATTGTTCTCTGCATTTTCATTTTCTGGACAACTCCAGTCAAAATTCTTCCTCTAATTGAGACATTACCAGTGAAGGGACATTTCTTATCAATATATGTTCCTTCAAGAGCCTATACAGGATAAGATTCTTTCAATGTAATTAATTCTGCAGTTTTCAGAATCAATTTTATTTATTCTTAATTATGTCTCATGTTAATTCTAGCAATATAAAAATTATGGATATGTGAACACTGAAAAGTTAATTAAAGAATGAAATCAAAAGCGGATTTACAGCAAATTATATTTACCTCGCGTGGCGTTTTGAAACCCAAGCCAACATTGCGGCTGTATCTCATAGGTTTCCTGCGCTTAGGGCCTAAACCTTTTTTGCGATTTAAGAAAATAGTTGGCTGCTTTTGAAAAGCACGTTCGCTCTACAAATGAAATCACACACACATAGTACGAATGTTCTCCACAAATTTTTAATTTTACAATCAAGAATTGTAGCACGTGCAGATTTAACCACGTGTTATACTTGTAACCATAATTTCTCGAACGCATCTCAACTAGAAGTATTCCGATTTTTACTTGTATTTATTCATAATATTAATTCTCTATCGTAAGAATGTATAGGAAATATTTCTATAAAATGGCTTCGTTATACGTGCATAAATTTATTGCTGATCCGGATATCAAGACATACCTGATCAGCCATGATGTTCTCCAAAAGTAGCTGAAACACCAAATACTTCTGTATGTTAGCTAAACGATGGTCATAGCAGAGAGGAACGTGAGAGCGGCCAACACGGTGTTTTCGACGACACTGACTTCCGCACTGGGAAAGGGCGCCATCTGCATCCATTTTGAGAGGGGAACTACGATGCTACGTCCACTTTCAAGTTTCGGCGGTAAAACCTGTATGTGGTGGCAGTCCGTGCTACATCCATTTTTAGGCGGTTTATGTCCGTGCTACAACCATAATTCAACAGCATTTTTCAATTTTTCAAATAACGCTAAAATAGTACTTCCGCTATTTTTTAAGATATCTTAAAACGGACAACGGGGTTCGATAGAGAATCGTTTGTATCCGTTTGTACCACATTGCATTTCGTTTGTACCTCAACCGTTTCGGAAGTACAGCAATTTTCAATTTCTGTCATATAACGTTAAAATGGTACTTCCGCTATTTTTTAAGATATCTTAAAACGGACAACGGGGTTCGATAGAGAATCGTTTGTACCCGTTTGTACCACTTTGCATTTCGTTTGTACCTCAACCGTTTCGGAAGTACAGCAATTTTCAATTTCTGTCACATAACGCTAAAATGGTACTTCCGTTATTTTTTAAGATATCTTAAAACGGACAACGGGGTTCGATAGAGAATCGTTTGTACCCGTTTGTATCACTTTGTATTTCGTTTGTACCTCGACGGGTTCGGAAATACAGCTTTTTCCTATTTTTCAAATAACGCTTATATCATCATCGGTGAGCGTTTGACTCAATGCTCGCAGAGAGCTCTGTTAATATTACATTGTGCATGCCGCAAATTTGCATTGACTTTTGTAACGAAAAATTTATTTCATGAATTATTGCCATATATTGTTGCCATATATTGTTGCCATATATTTTTGCCGTATATTGTTGCCACATATTGCTATGTGTTATCGCTATATATTATGGGCACTAAAAATCGCGCGAGCAATCGAGAAAACTGTGAATTTGCGGATAATCGCGAAGGCGCGGGGCAGACGTTACAGACGGATGCCAACAGCTCGCCTCAGAGCTACCCGATAACATTGCTCTTGTTGCAATTTAGCTTTAAACCACAACTGCCTCCGGTCACAGAAATCTCTCTATCGCGGATTAACTCCTCGAGCGGAGTGTTCCTGAGAAACACTCTTGACATAAACGCTGGTTATAAACAAACTTGCCTCGTAGGGCCTCGTTGCGGTATCGTTGTCGCGGAAAATAAAAAAGAATGGAGTTAAATATTCGCACCGTTGTGGAAAGAGAAGCGATGGCGTCCCTTCACGAGTAGAATGTTAGGCCCTTGCGAACGCGAGCATTAAATTACACCGCGACTGCGAACGTCCCCTGACTAGTTTCTTCGCGGAAATTGAATCTTCATAACTCGCGCTTAATCGTGCATTGAGACTTTATCGAGGGTGGGAGATTGAAGCGGGAGTTGATGATATAAGCGTGACAAAATAGTCGCGCATTTTATGATCGCTCTTTAAAATGGGCGCTTCTTTCGTCGTGGATACAGATGGCGCCCTTTCCCAGTGCGGAAAGTCGATGTCGCCGAAAATAACAATTTGTAATGGAGGATTCACATTGCGTCCGATGTCCGACGTACGACGTCTGACATCCAATAGAAGAACAGTTTTCCAATGGAGAATTGAATTCTCCATTAGAAAGCTGTTTTCCTATTAGATGTCGGATATCGTACGTTGGACATCGGACACAGTGTAAAGGTCATCTACAATACGTGTCGTAAGTTGTAAGTTGTAGAACTGACCAATTATAGCCGATTATTTTTGTAATAATCGACTATAATTCGCCAATTCTTACGGCTTACATCTTACGACACGTATTGTAGAATTACCTTTAATCCTCCATAACTAGTAGTTGCCATTCTTCGCAACTCGCAATTGGGTATTTGCAACCTATTCTGGACCGGGCTTTAGCGATAAAAGAAAAGGCCTGTTCTTTTTCGCTACATTACTGCACTGGTGCAATAGGTTAAAGTGAGAAAACATATATGTGTCTCACTTTAACTTACTGCACCAGTTCAGCAGTGTAGCGAAAAGGAACAGGCCTAATGTCCAGAATATAAGCTCTAGAGGCTTTTGTTCGCCTCCGTGACGGTTGGATGTAGTTCCTGTAACTACGCATATTTTTTATCTTGGAGACTGCGTACGCGTTATCCCTGTTTCTCTTTTATTTCCAAAATCGTTGTGATTGGCGTAGGAGTGTAATAACTCTGCTCAGAGCCATATATTGAATGAATGAATGAATAAATATGAGCCCGTCCACAATCTTGCTCAGGGTTGTTCCAACTTCTTGGTAAGGTAAGGCAATTATAGCCGATTATTTTTGTAACAATCGACTGTGATTCGCCAATTCTTACGGCTTATAACTTAGGACACGTATTGTAGACCAGGTCTAACTGATAGTTAGATTATATGTCTGTCTTCGTTTAAATTGAAAGAAAAACAAAGATAAACATATGATTTAACTAATCGGTTAACTTACCGAGATGTTGGAATAACCGGCCCTTAAAGCCGTAAGCCATAAGCAAATTGACCAACTATAGTCGATTATTCTTATAATAACTGATTGCGATTAGTTAGTCATGTACGATGTATGGGTAATTATCAAGAAAAAAAGCAACTCATCAATTTTGTTGACATTTAATATCGTGTCTTTTGATGTGTAAAACAGGAATACGAAAGAAAGAATCGTTGCTCTTAAATAAGAAAAAATTATAAAGTGCTACAAAATGATAGTTTTGAGATTAAGAAATCTGTTATGTCGACAGTGCATAGGTATCTGCTCATGTGTAAAACACAAAGTGTTTCTTTTATTTTTTCTTTTTTTCTTTCAGATACGTAAATATATATATTAATATTGTTGAAGTGCGGTAAAAGCAATATGTTTATGCTGTTAATGCATTTATATACAATGCACCACAAGAGACTGTCAAACTGATGTGATAAGAAATCAGCAGAAATCAACAGAATGGAAGAAAATGAAGGATAATGTAGAATAAAATGCATCCATACTGAATCCATCGTCATCATAAAAAAGAAACAAGAAAGTATATACTCATAACAAATTAAGTTTGTCTTATTTTAACTATTTTCAGTTAATTATTATACTAACATTATTGCAGCCCTAACTCAGTCAATAATTCGTCATGGGCGAGCGAAACAAAATATCAATTGATTCTATTTCAATATTTTAATTTTACCCAAAACTAGGTTATGTCAATTCGAGACGATGGGTTTCTTGTAGAATAAATGAAAATATCGTAAGATCTTTGTCTGATTACCATCATGAGAGTTTATTAATACAAATTTTGTAAGCAGGCAAAGTTATTTTGAGCATATGCCTGTTAACTTTAAAAATGCAAGTTAATTCTCCTGACTTAACCAATGGCTATCATCCTTGATTGTGAGATATTCTAATTAGTTTTGTTTAAAAATGGATCCGGATTTCATAGAAATGGCAAACGAAATCAAAAGCAAGACTATATTGCACTGGAACTGTCGAGGTCTTATGAAATTACCAAAAGCGATAAAACTTTATGGTAGTCATATAAAGGAGATATATCTCAAGTGGAACAAGCTTACTACTTTACCACCCTGGATAATGAAGTTATTTAATGTAACTAGCTTATACATGCATGGCAATTTAATTGAACAGCTGCCTGTTGAATTTGGCAAGATGAATCAGTTGACAGTACTGAATTTAGATGCCAATCAATTGAAACAGGTACCTATCTGCATTGGTAATCTGAGAAACTTAAAGCACTTATCTATGAATAACAATTTCATAGAAGAATTACCAATTGGTAAGTATAATAGGTGAATTTATTCTGCTGCAAGAACAAAGAACATATTAATTCATACAGCAAATAAAAACAGAATTGAGTCAACTGAGTAATCTGCAAATACTATCTGTCTCGAGCAATCAGATTATTGCACTACCAGAATGGACTGGCTCTCTACCAAAACTTGAAGAATTATATGCAGATAATAATCTACTGAAAGAGCTACCTAATAGATTAACACTGGCTCCTGAGCTTTCCATGATCTCTGTGTCTTTAAATAGGTTGCTATTTTTATTAATATTTTGCAAAATTTCTATCATCTGTATAAATTAAGCTATTCATTTTTTGGGAGCAAATTATAAATTACACTTTTTTACAGTTTATATTATAATATTTGATAGGTTAACATATTTTCCATTAAATGGATTCTTGTCATCTCCTGTTATTATATTTGATGCAAATGAATATTTGAATTATGTATCATATCCGCTTCTACTTCAAATTCTATCCCAAGGGGCGATTATCAACAGACTTTCTTTAGCATATGGGTGAGATTTCTAATTAGGAAAATACCAAGTAGAGATAAATGTACAATAAGAAATAAACTATCTTTAGGAGGTGGTATGTATATAAAGTAGATTTTACATTATTATACAATCTACATGTACAATCACAGATGTTTCAAAACACACTACAATACTAATGTGTCAAGCACAAATATAAAGCTGTACATTGAAACGAAAGGATTGTATGAAAATAAAACTGATATTATAATCGAATTACCACGGCAGCTTTTGAAAATTCACAAGGTTCATGAGAATGTAACTTGTTCTCTGTGGGAATTAGCACTGAGAAAAATTTATACTGAAAGGTAATCAAGAAAGTTTACATAAAAATAATAATCTTCTCTTTTCAAAATTATGAATATACAAACTGTGAAATAGCCAATGCCAAATAAACGTAATTTGTATGTAGTTCGATTATATCCGAAAATTGAATTAAAAATAGTCATAAAATAATGGACATGCACACACATATGCACATATGTAATGTCTTTCCTTATAAATATTAAATTTTCGTATCGATTCATGAAAAAGGAAGATTGAATTTCTTGTAATATCAAATTATAAATTTCTAATTTTTTACCTTTCATCTCCCAAGTATCTTGTAATTTTAACGCAAGCACATTTTAGGTATAAGCATACACTTGAGCTTGATATTTCTTCCCCGAATGTAACAATATTCTACAGCCTGCTTCCTAAGGATACTAAACTGGACTTCATATTGTCTACTATGAACTGTATTTCGTACAATTTATTAACAAACGGACCTATCAGCATCTGTGTAAATTCTCAGTGCGAGCAACCCATATTCACAGAAGCATGGACCATTGTCGGTGTTCATAGTATGGTGGTGATGGAGACTGTGATAACAATAGCTCTATGTTGTAGTAAAAGGTAATGTGAATGTAGTACTTTGAATGTAGTATATGAATGAGTTTATAAATCTTTAATTTCTTTTGCAGCTGTGCCTCTGCATTCACTACACATTCGAACTTTCTTAGAAAATTTCGTTGGCACTCCATCAACTGATGAATCCTCTTTGTTGAATGTTTAATTAAAACATTTCTGTATATATAAAACTTAACAGAAAAATAAAATTAACTTAACAGAAAAAATAAAATATTACGTGCGTTAATACCTCTTGACAGTACAGACATTCTCAATTTCATAAACTAAACTGCCCATTTCATTGTAACTTTGATTTATACCATTTTAATGATAATGACTTCCAGTTGATAATGCCCAGTATGAATTTAAGTTCTATAATGTAATGAAATTATGGAATTAACTTATCAGAAAATAGTAGTTAAACAGCTTTCTATAAATTCTATTATTTAAGACTAGTAGTTGAATACCATTTTCTTTATTAAAATATATGTTGCAATTTACGCGATATAAAAATTTTCATTTTTTCTGCGCGCAATAATTTAGTCTGTTTTCGCGTAAAACCAAATCATAAAAAAATATTTCGCAGCCTATCGTATTTTACGGATATCGATAACAGTTTGCTTAAGCGATCAAAAGATCTAACGCTCTGTCACGATCAATATTACATTTGAGTAATGCTACAGATGCCTCATCCTCGGGGAATCCTAGATCTTTCAACGTACATAGACTCTCATAGTAGATTCTTGCTTTATTTTGATCGTATTGCGTAAGCATTAACGCTTTTTCAGCATCGTCACCCGAAATACCGTTCTCTTCTAAAGATTGGACGGCCAATAAATACTCTACAATCTTCTTGTTATCTTCCCCACCTAAGTCGCGTATCGCTCGTGCCGCTCTTGATAAGGGGAAACCCATATCGCTTAAATGCCTGGCCAATTTTTGATCTTCATCTGTCAAGTCCGATAACGAATGCAGCGGTTTCACGTGATTGGACGTCGAAATCGTGTCGTCGTGTTTCAAAGTTCCACATGCGTCAGCGTCTGGACTCTCTAAATCGGGCCATGGTTTCCAATTCTGTCATAAGAAAAAATCGATTGAGTCAGCATTATATTGTCGTCAACAAAAAATAAAGTTCGTTACCTCCATAATAGGTCTCTCTAACTCCTTCTGAAGTTCCTGTACTATTGCTGAAACACTGCGGTGGTTCTCAACACTATGATGCGATTGATCCATTTTGATATGATCATCCGCTTGATTCTTTGTATCATCGACTTTCTCTTCATTCTGAATTTCTGTAGTATCATCAATTGTTAGTTCATTTATGATGTTTTCTAATTTCCCAGCTGGTACCCATTGTGATCTAGGTTGTAAAACCTACATGCAAAAAACACTGTATAAGATAATAAGATAATTGTCAATATCCTTTGTGCAGTTCATCGAATAATACTTGTCAATTATCATCTGATTTTTCTGAAATAATAAGTAATTTTGCTAACCTGTGCCAGTTCCTCCATGTCATTGATAGTTTTCAATTCCATATTGTCAAAAGGACTACTTGTGTCATTATCAAAGTCAGCAAAGTCCAGACCATTTGTCTTTACATGATCCTGAAGATCATTTGCTGGTGGTGATAAAGGTTGCGGCATGAGTATTGTCGTTTCTGGAGCAGGTGCTGTGTTAATAGGCAGTTGTTTTACATAATCTGTTGGCATAGGAGGTGGTGATGGAGGAGTCTCTTTTATTTCCTTCTTTTTCTTTTCTTCCAAACGTACTTGACGTGCTTTGCTAGTTGCCTGCCTGGCCTTGCGCCATTCAGTCATCTGATTATAAATTTATTAAATGGATTTATTCAAATCATAAATCGTCTAACAATTTATTTATTATTCTTACCTTATCAAGTACTGATCTCTCTAAACTGAAATCGTACATCACCTTCGATACATCCGATAATCTATTGTTGTACGCTGCAGGTAGACCGATTTTTTTCGGAGGTTTATAGGCCTCTGCGATTTTTACGTGGACTCCATCCATGTACGATGCGACTAAATCATATTGCGCTGATACGGAGAATCGCGCCATAACTTTCGACTAAATCTAGTCTCACGTATTTGAAGAATACCTCTCTGTAAATCTGCAGAAAAACCTCTCGCTTTATTTGTCCAATCTTTGAACATAACCTAATTTACACCGCAGCACATCACGTTTGGTCATACGTATCATGTGCCGATGATACATCTCGTATGTTAAGTATAAATTAATTAAGCATTCATCATTCTAATTGCTGATTATAACTCGCGAGACATCTGAGGTAATTTGAGTGTCGAAAATATATTCTCATTTGACAGATAAAGATCTCAGTGTGGCCATATTGCATGTCTCTGAATGTGGAGTTTATTTTTATCAGCTGCAATGCACTATACAAAGATAGAATACATGACACAGCCGTTGACACAGCAGCGCATATTTTCTCGAGTATATATAATACCAGCAGAGAGTAACCTGAGAGCGGACAACACGATGTTTTCGACGACACCGACTTTCCGCACTGGGAAAGGGCGCCATCTGCATCCATTTTGAGAGGGGAACTACGAGGCTACATCCACATTCAGGTTTCGGCGGTAAAACCTGTATGTAGTGGCAGTCCGTGCTACATCCATTTTAAGGCGGTTTATGTCCGTACTACAACCATAATAGCGTACTTGACAAGCACGGTCTCGCACATTGTTACGCGTTTATAACATGAATTAACATGTTAACATGTGCAAAAAAAAAGAATTGACATTGTGTATGATTAATATCATGAAGATCATACGAAGTGCCCGGTAATTAGCTGCCAACCCGAAGTGTGAGGGTAGATTGGGTTGAGACAAACATAAAAGTCCCATATTATTTTGCAAGATTCGCAATAATTATCGAGTTATTAATGACAGAAATCTGAGGAGTAAAAGCGCGCCGACATAGATGATTCGAAAAGCGTTGTAGCTGCTCGGGGCAGCGATTATGAATCTTTTCCCTAACGTGAACTAATAAAAAGTAAAAGACTTCTATGAATCAGTGAAAAATGAAAAATTTTATATGAATTTGTGAAAATCGAAACATTTCACACAACAATTGAGTCGTTCAACATGGCAGTTGCACGTTCTGGATAATTCAATGAATACCAAAGAAATCAAAATGATCAAAATAATATAATGTCCGTGTAGTTCGAAGGATATTACGTGACACGCAAAATCCGTTTGATATAATATCCAAAGAAAATGTTTCAAAATATATATGTACAGGTAATATAAACCTTATGCACCGACGAGATATACTACAAAGACTGATGGCCTTACGGGATTTAGCGTACCAGAGGAATTTCCCTGGTGAGGCACCCGGGCGAAAGAGACTGTCTCGCATTTAGCGCAGTAAAATTTAATGGAAACTAATACTTTTCAATCCTTTTATTCGGATCAAAAAGATTCAGAAATCAGACATATTCAAAATGTCGATACTTTTTAATACGTTTCAATTCGACATTTTATACAGGGAAGCAGGACGAAGGAAATGGAATGCGGGCAACGATACATCATGCGTCATCAGACGTGTCAAATCGTCCATTATAGAGGAGACTTTGATACGACATGTATTCGAATATTTAATCGACCCATGGACTACTTATACATAATAAAAAAAAAAATTAACGCGGATAAATGAACAATTCGTATCAATTTTTCTTTTTCTTATAGAGAAATGAAAGAGTAAATCAGTATCGGAAATCGAATACCAATTAATACCATAAATCAGTGTCAGAAAATTGTCCAATGACAATTTGTCCTCATTTTTCAGGTAGTTACCGCTATAATTTACACAACAAATTAACTCGGTTAAACGAACGATTCGTACCAATTTTTCTTCTCTTATAAAGAAATGAGAGAATAAATCAATACCGAAAATCGAAGGCCGATCAATACATTATACATAATTTATACATCAAATTAACACGGACTAATGGACGATTCGTATTAATTTTCTGTTTGCTTATAGAGAAATGAAAGAGTAAATTAGTACCGAAAATCGAATATCGATTAATACCATAAATCAGTGTCAGGAAATTGTCCAAGTGCAATGACAACTTGTTCTTATTTTTCAAGTACATACCCCTCTAATCTTATATAACAAATTAACTCAGATAAACGAAAGATTCGTATCAATTTGTCTTGTCTTATAAAAAAATGAGAAAATAAATCAGTACCAAAAATCGAAGACCGTTCAATATCTAATTTTTTCATCAAATTAACGCGGATAAATGAACAATTCGTCTGAATTTTTTCTTTTCTTATAGAAAAATGAAAGGAGAAATCAGTACCGAAAATCGGAATACCGATCATTATCGAATTTATTCATCAAATTAACGTGGATAAACAAACAATTGATATCAATCTTTTTTTCTTTTATAGAGAAATCAAAGACTAAATCAGTACCGAAAACCGGATATTGATCAATATTATAAATCAGTGTTAGAAAATTGTCCAAGTGCAATGACAAATTGTTTTCATCTTGCAGGTACTTACCCCACTAATTTACTCAACAAATTAAGTCGGATGAAAGAAAGACTTGTATCAATTTTTATTCTCTTATAAAGAAATTAGAGAATTAGTCAGTACCGAAAATTGAAGACCGATCAATAATTAATTTATTCATCAAATTAACGCGGATAACTGAACGCTCCGTATGAATTTTCTTTTCTTATAGAGAAATGAAAGAGTAAATTAATACCGAAAATCGCATATCGATTAATACCGTAAATCAGTGTCAGGAAATTGTCCAAGTGCAATGACAATTTGTTCTCATTTTTCAGGTACTTACCCGTCTAAACTTATTCAACAAATTAACTCGGATAAACGAACGATTCGTATCAATTTTTTTGTCTTATAAAAAAATGAGAAAATAAATCAGTACCGAAAACCGAAGACTGATCAATACCATAAACCAATGTCGAGAAAATTGTCCAAGTGCAATGACAATTTGTTCTCATTTTTCAGGTACTTACCCCTCTAATTTACTCAACAAATTAAATCGGTTAAACGAACGGTCCGTATCAATTTTTCTTTTCTTATAAAGAAATGAGAGAATAAATCAGTACCGAAAACCGAAGACTTATAAATACGTAATTTTTCCATCAAATTAAAGCGGATAAATGAACGATTCGTATTAATTTCCTGTTTTCTTATAGAGCAATGAAAGACTAAATCAGTACCGAAAATCGAAAATCGATTAATACCGTAAATCAGTGTCAGAGAATTGTCCAAGTGCAATGACAATTTGTTCTTATTTTTCAGGTACTTACCCCTTTAATTTACTTAACAAATTAATTCTGTTAAACGAACGATCCGTATCAATTTTTCTTTTCTTATAAAGAAATGACAAAATAAATCAGTACCGAAAACCGAAGACCGATCAATACGTATTTTTCCATCAAATTAACGCGGATAAATGAACGATTCGTATTAATTTTCTGTTTTCTTATAGAGAAATGAAAGAGTAAATCAGTACTGAAAATCGAATATCGATTAATACCGTAAATCAGTGTCAGAGAATTGTCCAAGTGCAATGACAATTTGTTCTTATTTTTCAGGTACTTACCCCTTTAATTTACTTAACAAATTAACTCTTTTAAACGAACGATCCGTATCAATATTTCTTTTCTTATAAAGAAATGACAAAATAAATCAGTACCGAAAACCGAAGACCGATCAATACGTAATTTTTCCACCAAATTAACGCGGATAAATGAACGATTCGTATTAATTTTTTGTTTTCTTATAGAGAAATGAAAGAGTAAATCAGTACCGAAAATGGAATATCGATTAATACCGTAAATCAGTGTCAGAGAATTGTCCAAGTGCAATGACAATTTGTTCTTATTTTTCAGGTACTTACCCCTTTAATTTACTTAACAAATTAACTCTTTTAAACGAACGATCCGTATCAATTTTTCTTTTCTTATAAAGAAATGACAAAATAAATCAGTACCGAAAACCGAAGACCGATCAATACGTATTTTTCCATCAAATTAACGCGGATAAATGAACGATTCGTATTAATTTTCTGTTTTCTTATAGAGAAATGAAAGAGTAAATCAGTACTGAAAATCGAATATCGATTAATACCGTAAATCAGTGTCAGAGAATTGTCCAAGTGCAATGACAATTTGTTCTTATTTTTCAGGTACTTACCCCTTTAATTTACTTAACAAATTAACTCTTTTAAACGAACGATCCGTATCAATATTTCTTTTCTTATAAAGAAATGACAAAATAAATCAGTACCGAAAACCGAAGACCGATCAATACGTAATTTTTCCACCAAATTAACGCGGATAAATGAACGATTCGTATTAATTTTTTGTTTTCTTATAGAGAAATGAAAGAGTAAATCAGTACCGAAAATGGAATATCGATTAATACCGTAAATCAGTGTCAGAGAATTGTCCAAGTGCAATGACAATTTGTTCTTATTTTTCAGGTACTTACCCCTTTAATTTACTTAACAAATTAACTGTGTTAAACGCACGATCCGTATCAATTTTTCTTTTCTTATAAAGAAATGAGAGTATAAATCAGTATCGAAAACCGAAGACCGATCAATACGTAATTTTTCCATCAAATTAACGCGGATAAATGAACGATTCGTATTAATTTTCTGTTTTCTTATAGAGAAATGAAAGAGTAAATCAGTACTGAAAATCGAATATCGATTAATACCGTAAATCAGTGTCAGAGAATTGTCCAAGTGCAATGACAATTTGTTCTTATTTTTCAGGTACTTACCCCTTTAATTTACTTAACAAATTAACTCTTTTAAACGAACGATCCGTATCAATATTTCTTTTCTTATAAAGAAATGACAAAATAAATCAGTACCGAAAACCGAAGACCGATCAATACGTAATTTTTCCACCAAATTAACGCGGATAAATGAACGATTCGTATTAATTTTCTGTTTTCTTATAGAGAAATGAAAGAGTAAATCAGTACCGAAAATGGAATATCGATTAATACCGTAAATCAGTGTCAGAGAATTGTCCAAGTGCAATGACAATTTGTTCTTATTTTTCAGGTACTTACCCCTTTAATTTACTTAACAAATTAACTCTTTTAAACGAACGATCCGTATCAATTTTTCTTTTCTTATAAAGAAATGAGAGAATAAATCAGTACCGAAAACCGAAGACCGATCAATACGTAATTTTTCCATCAAATTAACGCGGATAAATGAACGATTCGTATTAATTTTCTGTTTTCTTATAGAGAAATGAAAGAGTAAATCAGTACTGAAAATCGAATATCGATTAATACCGTAAATCAGTGTCAGAGAATTGTCCAAGTGCAATGACAATTTGTTCTTATTTTTCAGGTACTTACCCCTCTAATTTACTTAACAAATTAACTCTGTTAAACGAACGATCCGTATCAA